TATGGAAAAATTATGAAAATACTCCAAAAAAAAAACTTAAATTAAAAATATAGACCTATCTTTTAATATTAGAAATATACATCATGTTTGACTTTATTGCCCTTAAGTTATAACTATTTAAAAAACATAAAAATATTACAATAATAATCCATATATAAGGCAAAACCACCATCGTTTCCACTTCCACTTTGTCCGACCAAAGCAATCACTGTTAATTTCCGTATAACAAAACACTAGGTGACTTGCGGGTATGAAATGAATTTTAAATTTTATTGTGAAGTATAAAATTGTTTTAATTAGCTAGGTAACAATTTATATATATATTGTTGACAGACGAAATACTTTTTTCAATGAAATTAAGTATATGTCAAATTATAAATAAAATGATACATTTTGATGTTAACTTAATCTCCACCATATTCTTTTATTATTAAATCCAACTAATCCATTGTGATAAAATGTGTTGACTAAAACCACATTGATGGCTTAAAAAAGCTTGAAGTTTATGTTTTCGCTACTCTTCTATGGACTAAGCTTATTCTTTGTTGTCTATGTAAAATATTAGATAGTTTTGAATAAGTGATCATGTGATTTAATGTCAATGTATGCATCTATGTTGAGATAATACCTTATATATTAATTGGAGAGTGATTTGTGAAAAGCTATTTATGTGTCATCTCCACAGTCACTCTCACAAAAACAATTGTGACATAGCTTGTCAAAATTTTGACATGACAATTTTGAATCAATAATAAAATATTCTACAACTAAATTTATAATTGTTACCATGAATAAATCAAAAAAGTTTTTAATCAATATATTATCAGATTTTTATTTGTATTCTAAAATTATATAAAAAATTGGTTTCTCATTTAAAAATAGTTTAGAAATTGATTATTGTAATAATAAAATTATAGAACATTTTTATAGAATATATATTCTTTTTGAAAATAATAATAAAGACTTACCAAATTTTTAAAAGAGATTTTGATATGTTTGTGAAAAAAACTTCACAAGTTTATAACAACAAATATAATTATTCTTTTGAAATATTTATTTTAGCGCAATACAATTTGAAAGTACTAAAAACATTTTTTATTTCGAAAGGGACAATTTTTTTTTAATTTATGTTTTATTTAAAAAATTTATGATTATATATTTTAATATTTTAAAATATTAAATAATTTATTTGTATTCTAATATCTACTTAAGATATTCGGACAAGCCAAATTTAACATGGTTTTTAACTCTAATGTATTAAATTATTATACATTTTGATTTGACATATTTACATATATAAAATAATTACATGGTAAAACGAAATATCTGAAATTCATATTATTAATAAAAATGATATTATTGCCTAAAAAATTAAAACTAAAAAAATCAAAAAAAATGTCAATAATAAAAATCAAAACAACTACATATTTTATATTTTTAAAGACTAAAATTAAAAAAAAACTACATAAATAATTTATCCGCGTGTACGCGGGAGAATCACCTAGCATTGATGTAAATGTATGCATCAATGGTAATATAATATTGATGTAGTCGATTAATCCATTACCATTTACACCAGCCTGAAACATATATATAAATTATTTTCAGATTTTGACTTTTTAACAGGAGCAAAGCGATCAATATGCTTCTCCAACTCTCAAATAATGAATGCTATAGAAAAACAACAAAAATATTATGTAAAATCAGTAAAACATTGCAACATGAGTTAATTACAAAATCTTTTTAATGTCTTGGTTTGTATAGTACTACTTTTCTTGTGTTAAAAATATTCAAAAGGATACGTATATTGTTTTCTAAATTTGGGACAAAATCTCTTTTAAAAACTTGGTAGATTATTATTATAAATTTAAATAAAAATATATTTGGCATAAAAAGTGTTCTTGAACTTCATTGTGACAAAAATTAATTCTAAACAGTTTTGAAATGAATAACGAAAATATTATAAAATAGTAGTCCAAATTTATTTTGCTTTATTTATGGAAATATATAAATTTAGCTAAATAATATTTTGTAAGAAAAAAATTTATAAACAATTTTTAAATTAAAACGAAATTACTGTAAAAAGTATTTAGTTTGAATTTATTTTGCTTTATTTATGGAAAGATAGTTTTAAAAGATTTTGTAAAACATATTGTACTGATTCAAATTTGACATGTCACAAATTTTAAAAGCCATGTCATATTTATTTTTAGGAGAGTGGATATAGAGATGACAGATAAGCAATCTCTAACAAATCACTTTCCAAATAATATATAAAGGATTTGTAACTTGTCGTCTATTTCGTAAATATTGATTTTACAAGTTTGTCAATAATTATTTGTATTAAAGAATAGTTCCTCTGTTTGTCTTGAGTTATAAGGAATATCCGGGAAGAGAATTTTGATATTTGGATAACAATCTATGCTTAGCTTCTTATGGTTTTTGAAGATGAATCCTCCTTCACTAAGTAGAAAATTAACCATATTTTTTGCAAACTCAACCATATTCACTAAGTAAAATCAACCATATTCATCTCATAATATCTAGTTGCAAACTATACCTATTGATTGCAACATGAGAGTGGAATGAATAAGATTTAGCTATTAGACTTTTGTTTCACAAAACAATTTCAAAACTATAAAATTCCCTCTAGTTCATGCTCCAGCTTCATACATCTATATCAATCTCTTTAAAGCATCATAATTCACCATCCAACAATGCATATCATCTGATACACGTCTCAGATTCACACCAAGACAAGGCTCACAGATTCAAGGCTTCTAGATATGCGGAAGTGGTGATGATGGTGAAGTAACCGATTTGATGTTGATTCCACAACACCGAGGCCTAGAGAATATAATCCAAGGGCTAGTCCTCACAAGGATTAGAAACTCTACACGAAACCTAAGTTATTTGATTCTACAAACAACCTAGAACTCGAAAAAACATATTTGATTCAAGACACAAAGTGTTGAAGCAAAGCAAACTGAATTTCAATAGATAAAAGAGTGAATTGAAAGTACTAAGCAATTGAGCTTATATAGGCTCAATGAACAAGACCTCCAATGGCCAGAAACAATCTAGAAAGGAAAGAATAAAAATCAAAGCAAGCAAAATCTTCTCCATCAATGTCTTTTAGCCGTTAGGCATTAAAGAGGGCGTTTCTTTGGCTTTAAGAGAAAGTTTCTGGAATCTTCTTAAGTCTGGTGTATGCGACGAATGGTTAAGATCTTCTGGAGTGAATAGACGGCCTCGATCAAGAGATGAAAGCGTAGTCTTGAGAGAAAAAGCAAAGGCTCCTCCGAAAAAAGAAAGTTTCTTTTTCTTTTGTCTTGGGCGAATGGAAAGAAGTGGTGTCATTTCTGAAGCTTTTAAATGGCGTGTAGTCTTCATAGGAATGAAAATATATAGTAAGAAGTCTTCATATTCGTTGGTTGAGTCATCGGTTTGGTTTAAGTCGCCGGTAAAAGTCAAATTGAGCATTTGTGATCCATCTTCAATTCTGCCTCTCATGGACGTGCT